GCATCGACAGTGTTCGCCAAAGCAATGGCAGTGATTTAATTCTTCGATCTTACCCTGGGTGCCCCTCGATTTCGACGCTCTATGCCGTTAGGGGATTTCTATTGATGTTGGGCGAGCTATTCCGAGTTCCTTTCATCAGCAGTGGTTCTGCTCTCGCTTCTGTCAGCGGAATGCTGACGGCTTGCAAAGTTGCAGACAACCAGTCATTGTCGCTTGTCAAGTCACAGTGACCCAGACGTAAGATTGCTGCTGTGGCAGCAGCAGAAACAGTAATAATTATTAGAGAAATATCCATGGATGCGAACAATAGACCATGCCTATACTGAACAGGCTCCTATTATTTAGGTTACATTATGCATACTGTGGTGACCAGCCTAAGATTATTAGTATGATCAAGAGTGCCAGAGTGCTCAAACTGACAAGTAAGTGAGCCCTGCACATTCATACAGTGATAGACAAACTTGGAGTTGGAGCACACTCCATGGCAGTGACATGTACAATGTGCATTGTAGCAGAGACATGGCCAGACGGAGAAGGCATCATTCACACATTGATAATCGGCACTGATACTTGTACTGGATGCATAGTATTAGTTATCAGTGATATGACTCTTCGCGTTGCACAGCATCACCTCATAGCTCATTCTTTACTCTTTGCCACAGTGATTAGGACATCTAACTAAGTTACTTGCACCATAGGCATAGGCTTCATGCAGGAGTATGGTATGAGTATGGAAATGTACCTCCAGTATCTACATTGTACAGGACACAATCTGCGGACAGAACTGTTTCGTTCTTTGTGGACCCATTAGCGCAGCACAAAAATGAGGCCGAACTTGATAGTAATGGAATTTTTTTCCAAAGCCAGATTTAAACCAGGCCCGAACGTACCTTGCCAGAGTGCTCAAACTGACAAGTAAGTGAGCTCTGTACATGACACATGTAGCAATTCACTGAACAATTCTAAAAGCAGAACTTGGTGGTCAAGCGCACCTTTCCAGCTTCGTTTTTACTGTACGAAGTCAAGCCGTTGAGGGCGACAGGCACGCTTTAGCGGAGATTCTCTGTGTGCCTACCAAATATATCACTCTCTGTCTCTCTGTCTCTGTCTCTGTCTCTCTGTCTCTCTCTTTCTCTCTGTCTCTCTCTCTCTTTGTCTCTCTGTGTCTCTCTCTGTGTCTCTCTGTGTCTCTCTCTGTCTCTCTCTGTCTCTCCCTCCCTCTCTGTCTCTCTGTCTCTCTGTCTCTCTCTCTGTCTCCCTCTCTGTCTCTGTTTCTGTCTCCCTCTGTCTCTCTGTCTCTGTCTCTGTCTCTTTTTGTCTCTCTCGGTGTCTCTCTCTCTCTGTCTGTCTGTCTCTCTCTGTCTCTCTCTCTGTCTCTGTCTCTCTCTCTCTCTCTCTCTCTCTCTCTCTCTCTCTCTCTCTCTCTCTCTCTCTCTCTCTCTCTCTCTCTCTCTCTCTCTCTCTCTCTCTCTCTCTCTCTCTCTCTCTCTCTCTCTCTCTCTCTCTCTCTCTCTCTCTCTCTCTCTCTCTCTCTCTCTCTCTCTCTCTCTCTCTCTCTCTCTCTCTCTCTCTCTCTCTCTCTCTCTCTCTCTCTCTCTCTCTCTCTCTCTCTCTCTCTCTCTCTCTCTCTCTCTCTCTCTCTCTCTCTCTCTCTCTCTCTTTCTTTCTTTCTTTCTTTTTCTCTATATGGGAGATTCATGATTCCATTTCTCTCCGAGGGCCGTGAATCTCTCTATCTCTCCCTCCCACACACGCAACACACATAAAGCCTATAAACGCTCAAACAGGCATCTACAGGTACATAAGACTTATAATGTACATCATGCATACACACGAACACACACACACACACACATACACACAAACATGTGCATACACGCGCCTACTCACGTGCACACGCACACACGCACACACGCACACAAATACAAACACGCACTGGCACACGTGCGCATGCGTCATGTAGCGGTACAAAAACAAAAATAATCATGAATAGGAACATTATAACACTACTGGCTTGTTAGTTTTCGTAAATAGCTACATGACAGTACTTACTTTACTTCACTTTCCCGTGGGACGCGCTTGCTTTCCCTGAAACGAATGCACCTGTTATCACTTCTGACACTCTGTGGATTGTGTTGCACGGTGCTATCGCTGGTACAGACAGTCATGATGTCAGCTTGGGTGACTTGGAGATGGACCTGCCAGACTGCTGTACGGTCTGTGTAGGACATCAGCCACGTGACAAGTATCACAAACTGTGTGCCCCTTTCACTCCGTTGCTGCTATGGAGTGATAGGTAGGAACTCCGACTGACGGACTGTTCGCCCTGATGATCCTCAACACAATCACGCTTTTCAACTACTTGGCTACGCGATCGCGCCATTCATGGTGGCGCCTCTGGCACTGATGTGGGGGCACTGCCTCATGGGTGCTCACTTGATCTCGTCCTGTAGCACACAATTAAATACCCCTCCAAACCCCAAGCCCAGCTGTATTAAACTTATAACGACACTCTGGCAGGAGGAGGAGAAGAAGTGAGACCGACTGAACTGTAATTTTTCTTGAAATACAGAATGGCATCCCAGCTCGAGTTGTAGCGTCACATCCTGTGGATTCACCTGTACTGCCCGTGGATCTAAATGTAGAGTCCACAAGTCCCACGCTAGTACAGTCAATTGAAATGAAAAAACTGTGGATTTGTTTTTTTACCAATCAAAGGGCTGGACACGTGCGATACATACGGTACGGGCAGGCAGCGGTTAGAAGCCAACATGGGCTTTCATATTCTTTGCCTTTGGACTTTGATTTTGGGGCGCAGCTGCTGGCTTGCTTGGCATCTACTGACAGTACAGTAATGTCAAACCTGTTGGCCTACATTGTACTACTGACAGTACTGTTCTCTTGGTAATGTATAGTGTGTACGTGGATTTGTGTTCCACTACATGAAGTACATGTACATGTACATGTATATCTAGGCAGATCTATTCAAACCTTTGTGGGAATTGAGAAGGGGAAAAGTCTGAAAGAAAATGTGTGACTGTCACCTCCGCTGGCGCTGGACCAGGCACATGACAGGTTTATGGATTATTTCAGGCGGTAACTACATAGTTGTCGTCGACACGTGTAAGTCATTATTATAATTACTAATATAATGAATAACGTTGGTTCCGTGGGGGCGGAGATGAAAATAGTCTTCTACAGTGTACATTTATAAGAAAGAAAAAGGACCAAGGAACTACAAGTTACGATATAATGTCCACTAACACTATGTTATTTCTATAACTTAGAACCTTCCAAGTTGGAAGGCTGTTGGAGTGCGCATCCAAGATGTGCTAGAGCTGTTAGCCAGTTAGTTGTAGAACGTCAGTATAGTCGGTCAGTGTCGTGCAATGTTATCGCATGAGCTAATTGTTCAGTAACTGGTGGTGTTAGTGGACATTATAGCGTGACTTGTAGTTCCTTGGTCCTTTTTCTTTCTTATAAGTTGATCTTAGCTCTCCATCCGAGTACATTGTACATTGTATAGGAATACATAGAAAATAGTCTTCTAGAGGCTGTCGAAGTGCTGACGTCCCGCTGCCTGAAAACTCGTAGCTACACGTTCACGTAGCGGCATCACTTTGATTGGGACTCGTGCAAATCGCGAGTTCTGATAGGACCACAGAAAGCAGTTTTCGGCCATCCCATACCATACATAGCCCTTCCACACTTACTGACTTAGGTCCCTGTGTATGACAGACTACAGTCAGTAGTGGGTAGACTAGAAGTAGTGGGTAGACTACAGTACTAGTCTGTAGTCAGTAGTGGATAGACTACAGTAGTGGATAGACTACAGTAGTGGATAGACTACAGTAGTGGATAGACTACAGTAGTGGGTAGATTACACATAACCATTGATAACCTCCTCAGCAGTAAACATGCCTTGATGGCCACACAGGACCAGGTTAGGTGATCCGGTTATGGCCTGAGTCACCTGACCAACCAGACCGGGTCCGGTCGGCCTGTGCATGTGTAGCGTCGTTACCATGGTTACTTGTCGTCGAGATGTAACTAGTTTCTCCCTGACTCTGACTCTGAGTCTGAGGCTTCGCTAGCGCTGTCAGTGTCAAGCCATCGTGCCCGGTTTTCCTGCTGAGTGTTCAGGTGTTCACCTGCACCTGAGAGATGGGAGTTCTGATTTTCGCTTGCCGCTGGACACTGAGGAAACGAGCCCAGAGTTGGCTGGTCTCAGAACCAAAAGCGATCACCGCAATAGAAATAACAGAGATACCCATCATTGTTTCTTGGCCGGCGACTACATGAAAAGCCGAACGACAGTACAGGCACAGCAATAGCTAAGCAAAAAATCAGCTACAGCTTCTCCTTCCCTACAAAGTGAAAACTACAAACTCAGCGGCAAGGTGAAAATAATCTGATTCTCGCTCGCGAGCTCGCCAGTCAAAATGATTCACTGCATGCTCTGCCACTGCACCGGAACACGACAAGCGCAGGTGTAATGCCACTTGTCACCACCTGTCCAAGTAACCAGGCGTTACGCCCGGTGTCAAGAAGCAGTGACGTCAGACTTCGACGGCCTATTCATGGTGTTGTCAGTTCTATTCGGATGCCTTCTGCCGCCTTGGGAGTTGGAACACTTAGAATATCAACAAGTAAACAACGGCTTAGTTTTGGGGGCTGTCCGGGTTATATCGTTTCCGTTCCATTCTTATGCCATTGTGGCTCCTCTCCTAGGACCGATCCTCATAGAGTTCCAACACGAACCTACCTCGCTTTTTTTTATCACTACATCAGTGCGTGCTATTACTAGTAATACTAGTGACACTGAGACAGCCACATACTGTCATAGTCATTCGCTTGTCTGAACCGGAACGTCAAGAAGTCAAAAGGGATGTCAACTGTCGGAAGTCACGGCAAATCATTTCAACTAACTTGCCACGATCAACGAAGTAAGTTAGTTGCAGCAATCTCCAACGAAATCATCGCGGGTCCAGTCATCTGCTACCTGTACTCAATTTGGTATCGACCGCCTACCAAACATGTCTCTGCCGCCCCTATATAACTGCAGCATCAGTCCGACTTATTCAGTCGCCACCGAACATTCAGAACGATACGAAACCTTCTTCCAGTTGGAAGAGATCTTTTCGGTCCGAAGCATATTTTCTTCTCTATATTTGCTAGTCCCAGGGTAAGGAAGGCGTTGGAGAAGAACGGCCAAATCCTTGGTCTTCCAACAGGTAAGTGCTAGCTATCCGTGCCGTGAGGATTATGTTACGGTTATTATCTTGTAGGAGAATGGTGAATTGGAAGTTGCTTAGCGCTTGTGTCTTGCCTTGTTACGAACGTCTTGACTCCGCAAAACATGATCTAATAATTTTTGTTTCTAGTAAAGAAAAGGTCTCCTTTCCTATGGCTTAGCATGAGTCATTCCGCAATGGCCCTGGGCTCTTGAAAGACCTCATAGGGACTGTCAGGCTCACCTTTTGCTGGACTTTCCAGGTAGTGGTCTACCCACCAACTCACCAATCTTTGTGCCAGCCATGAAGATTTTTGGAGATGTAGCCTTGCATAGCATGAAAGTCGCAAAGAGATGAAACTAAAATGTTCAAGATTGTGATTTCTGCTTGTTTGTTCCGTAGTCTACACGGTTAGCGTTAGTGCTCCATATTCTTGTGATGTTTTTATCATTATACTATCGCTCTGTTTGCACAGTTGTGTACCATGTGTGAACATGGTGAATGGAGCTGAAAAGACCCAGGGAAAATGATTCATTTGAATTTGCGAGCCTTTCGATTTTACCGGGGGTAATACCCGTTTAGGTACCCGTGGATGTTATCATAGTGAGTAAATTCTCTTGTCCTCCGCAGTTCTATCACCACATCATGCATAAGATGGGTGGTGGTGCGAAGGACGCCATGCACGCTCTGCTGTTACTGGTACTATTGGCGTCAGTGTCAGAGGGCAGCCATTTCCGTGGAGGCACAATATCATGTGGTCCAGACCCTACGAGCAACGGGGGATTTGACAACAGCGGTAATGCCAAGGTCAGTGGTAGACTATTTTAGCAGTTTCCAGTGTTAATGTGTTCCAGTTATCATTGGTGGTTTAGAACTGTTTGGCTGAGTGTCGATCTTAATCTACATGTACATGGTATGGCTAATGCCAGCACTGAAGGATATTTTGCACATGTTGTGATTTTCTGAGGCCCTAGTGTTGGTGAGAGTCGTATTCAAAAAATCCGACTCGACTTACACTGCCTCACCCTGGTGTACAGTTTGCAAACGAGGAGTTTCTGTACATTGTGTGTCACCGCACCGCACGGCACGGCACCGCACGGCCCTACCCTTAGCCTTAGCCTAGCTTGTGCGCACGAGTACACAGTGGAATAGTCAATACCACGTATATGTACGCTCATATCTCCGGATCTCAAAGTCACAGGAGGTGCCTGTGTCTACCTGCCCACCGGGCAGCCTTTGGCCTGTGGCCTGTGGGCGAGTTTCGGCGGAAATGTTGCTGCTTAGAAGTACTCTGCTATTTTTATTGAAATAATGACGTCATATGCCAGATCTCTGGCCCTTCCGGGAATTCCCCTTTGAAACATGTGTGTGATTCAGAGTAGCGGACATTTCGAAATTGCTGGCAGTGCTCAGTTCCTGACCACCCGGAAAAGAGAGATATGAGTGTATTTGTACCAATACCATGTCTGCATGCAGTACGAGCTGTGGATAAATTTCGGTTCAGAGGCAGAAAAAGAAGGGGAGCTGGTACCCATCATGGCCCACCATCAAGACTTCATCAAGGCCGTTGGTGCTGAGATTGTAGAAATGGAATGTCCTAACACTGCATCCATCTGTGCTGTCCCCTTTGCCCTTTGCCTACAGATACAGTGCAGCTATCGAGTTGCTTGGCGACTGAATTACCATTCTGGAACAGAGTGCAACGAAACCCAACGCAATAATGCAGTTCTTCTGAATGGGGAGGGAACTGACCTTGTCTGTCATGCGGGTTGCAGTGGAAGCATTGCAAAACTTTCCTATGTGTGCACAGAGTTTAGTCCACCACAGGAAGAGAACTGGTCGCAAGGTGGGAGAACTGTGCAGTACACATTTCCTGGAGCACCTTCACGGTTCAGCGCAAGGTAAGTTTATCTTTTAAAACTAGATCATGTGCCCAGTGCTTGTCAGCCTGATGGGCGGGGATAAACAGGTGGGTGACAATGGACAAAGGAAGAAGGAGAAAATATTCCGGATGTGAGCATTTCAGTGGGTAAGACGAGTAAGCTAAGGAGCTCATTCAGCCTTCTACTTAGCACCAGCTGTCCTAGGTATTTGCCCTCGGCTTTCACTTCTTTGCGCATTGCTCACTTAAAATACTTACACTGGCTGTTTATATTGCTATGTAGCAAGTTTGTGAATGGATCGTTCATAAGTTTGAGGAAGGTCGTAAGGGAAGGTCTAACAAATTTCGACTGTCATGAGAAGCGGAGAGTTTTCCAGTTAGACATTAGTCACATTATCACAATGCATTCAATGCATTTATTTATTTATTTATTTCTGCATACAAATAATCAGCCATGCCTGCAGTGAAGAAAATCATCTTTTGTAAATTACATTCTCCTGTGTGATTCAGGCTTGCTACCTGCTGCTGGATCGCAACTCTTGCAAGGTATGCTCGCGCATCCTTGAATTTTGTTCTGCCAATATCAATGGATCTTGGAAGACGATCGGACACGGGAATGATAAATCACAGTCCATCGTCCAATCAGCCGGCAATCAGGAGACTGCAGCACGGTTGTGCTCAGAATCTGTCCATTCACACTGCGGACGCGGACGGCGATATTGTGCGATGTAGATGGGGCACGACTAGCAACAGGTATGGTGAAGACGAGTGCGGAGATATCTGCTCACCGCCGGAGGGTATAACACTAACATCAGTAAGTAGAGCGTACTTGCTTCGCTCTTTTGATAAAAAAACTTACATCTCGTTTGAAGACGATCAGGATATTTAGCACATTCAGAATATGCAGGCTGAAGTTGGCTCAAACACCGAACTCTTTATTTTGTCATTTTACCTTCATTGTGGCCAAGAGTGAGCTTTACAGCCGCCCACATATACATGAACAATATTTGTTTCGATCCTGGGAAACATGTCAGAAACCTTTATAATAACAGTTGCTCTTGTAGCAGCTGAGCACTCTCATGTGGGATAGTGCCTTTGCTGTTTGCATTACGCAGAGCTCATTGACTTGTCAGTTTGAGAGTACTCTACTGACGAGGTACGTTCGGGCCTGGTTTAAATCTGGCTTTGGAAAATTTATTTTTCATTGCTATCAGGTTCGGCCTCATTTTCTCTGTGCCGCGCTGGTGCGTCCACAAAGGACGAAACAGTTCTGTCCGCAGATTGAGTGATATGACAGTTGCTGTAACTCTTGGCAGGATTCCTACTGGGGCAATTCTTCCCTCACTTTTCCAATTTGTGAAGGTTTGATTTGCATCATGTTGGCTGACCTGCTCGCTTTGTCTTTGCCGCTTGCTTGTGTGTAGGAGCCATGCACACTATATGTCCCACCAACACTGGAGGCAGGTAAACTACATGCAGTCTCCATTGTTTTCGAAGACTTTGCCGGAAACGATCCGAACGGCGCCCCGATGAGTCAGGTTTCGCTCCAGTTCTTGCTGGACGTGCAGAGTTCAACGCAAGCCTGCTCCTCGCGCCCCGTGCTAGTGGCACCCAGCCCCGAAGACAAAACCTGCATTCCCATAGCTCCGAACACCGAGTATCGGGTCAAGCTCAGGGCCAGACAGACCTTGTCGAGTAACATGTAAGCACTAGTATCAGCATAACACTAGTATCAGCATAATACTAGTATCAGCATAATACTTTTCAAGTTTTTTGAAGTATTATGTGTATGACTGAGTCTCATGATTGGGTGTCTGATCACGTTACGAAGAAGTCACAACTCAAGTGAAGTAATTTTTACACCAATTGCACTTTTAAAACAGCCGTTTCCAGTGTGTCGTCGGCAAACGGCATTCCACAAATAACTGTAAATCATCTCACACACCCAGTCAACACAGGTAAGGAAACAGCACTGATAGTACAGGATTGGAAACAGCACTGATAGTACAGGATTGGAAACAGCACTGATAGTAAGGAAACAGCACTGATAGTAAGGAAACAGCACTGATAGTAAGGAAACAGCACTGATTGTACAGGATTGAGGTGGTAAAGCTGGCTGCAAATCTGCAGACGAAACCCTCTCGCACACACTTCTCTTGCGCATTGTTTTCTTCACACGTGGGTGCAGCTTGTCTGCATAACTTGTCCCATGCCCAAAAAGCAAAGGGATCGTTCTGACGTGTTGCACACCCTGCCCTGTGCTGTTGCTGCTGCCGCTGCTGCATGATGTCTCCAGTATTTCCGGCTTCAGCATTACTCAACCTGTTGGCATGCAGAGAAGCAGTATTTCTAACATCCAAAGCAATGGTGTGTACTACGGAGAAGTGGAGCTCAACTGGACGCCTAGAGTGGAGCAGTACGGTCCACACGTGTTCTGCTTCCTGGCTACTGACAACACAGGGTACGTCTGTTACTGCGATTAGGAGCAATCTTGAAGTCCCGGGACTGTTTTTTCCAATTTTAATTGGCAAATGCAAGTCGTCCAGGGGTAGGGTTTGGTTGTTGTGAAAATGCTGTGGAAGGCTTTGGCCGAAGTCTTTGTCACATATCTCATGTTGGTATAGGATGCTCATGGCACCGAGATCAGGAAAAGGGCATACAGCTAAAGATATGGGGATGGGAGCAGCCAGTCTGACACTTGTGTAATGCTCATTTTCAGAAACAACTCCTGTCGTGCTTGTAAGTTGTAATCTGGCGTTGCAGAGCAGTCTGTTCATTCATAAACATATCAGAGATCCAAGTTTGGGCCCTCCAAACTCCTACACATTTGCTGACGAGCACGCGGCATGATTTAGTATGGAGTGAGATAATGGTTCTGGTTATTACCAAGGGCGTCGGAAGCGGTACGACTGGTACGGCTCGAGCTGTACCACTTTTGACTCCAGGTGGTCCACGCGGAACGTCCGAATCCGGTGTAAAAATAATGGGGGTATCGAGTTTGTACATGACCACGCGTGATCGTGAGACGCGATCTGTCACCGGTGCACCAGTCAGGGCACTGCACCGTGTAACGCGTGACTAGACTATCGACTACGGAACTGCATGGCATGTACATGTATGCGTCATGACTCCAAGATCTGACTTCGTACCTTTGGAGACCCTCTGAGAGGGGTATTTTGAGTGTTGTTTTTTTTAATTTCCCGGGGGACGTTTCCCCCCCGACCCCCTCTCACCGTCCAGCCGTACCACTTTCTACCTCCTTCCGACGCCCCTGATTACACTAGACTCAGGGTCCCTAGGGCATGTGTCATGTTAGATGGGTACATGTGTGTGTGTGTGTGTGTGTGTGTGTGTGTGTGTGTGTTTACGTGTGTGTGTATGTGCCTCCGGCGATGGGCGTCCAATGGTGTGTGTGTGTGTGTTTGTGTGTGTGTGTGTGTGTGTGTGTGTGTGTGTGTGTGTGTGTGTCCCATATGGTGCAGTGGTATGTGCAGCGATTTCCCATCGATAGGTTGCGGGTTCGATTCCCGACGATTATGGTCACACACGTCTTTCTTCTCTTTCTCAGACTCTTCCTGACTTTTCTTTCATTCTCCTGGGTGGTTACCAACAGCCAGTGCATGCCGGAGTATGTGGTGTGATGTGTGTGCGGGGAAAGAATGAAAAGACCAAAAATAGGGATTCACTGGCCAGAAAAAGTCACTTTGAATAGCTGTATGGTGTAGACCAGGCTGAATAGTGACGGTCAATTCTTCAGCCTTGCAAGCTGTTGAATGGTGCAATCCCAGCACAAGTTGCTATGACTTCTGCCGTAGCATTGCTATCATCACCTCCGGTGATAGGCATCAAGAAGGTGTGTGTTGTGTTGTGTGTTATTTTCTTGATGCAGGCAAACATCAGAGCAGCAATGTGTAACACTTATGGCTGGAGGTAATCTGTCAGTGCTCTCTATCTCTCGGTTCTGTCTGGCAGCCTGGCTTCCAAGCGAACCCAACTAGAACCTATTTTTGATAACATACCAGAAAAGACCTGCCCTTTCTCGCCTGGGGCTGTTTTGCCTCAGACTAAATTGAGTTACCATATTTCCGCGCATATAAAACCATGGCGTTATAGGTGAAACATCGCTGTTTTGGACCAAATTTGAAAATAGCCTCGGTTTTAACGCCGTGGCGCTAAAAAAAAGTGAGAGTCGCGTGCACGGAAAAAAATCGGCAGAGTATGAACTTCGAGTACTCGTACGGTGACGTTGCACGTTCATGTCGAGCATCCATGTACTTTCAATTTTCCCTGAAAATTTCAAATTTTGAACCTATTGTGTGGCATACAAACTTGTGTGAAGGTGCGGTGGCGGTATGTGACAGTGGGGATGGGTGCATGCAGAGAGAATCACCGCTACTGTAGGTTCACTGAAAGAATTTAACTCACCTTTAACGCCAGATGCGACTTCCTCCACATTGAATTTTGTTCACTTATAACGCCATGGCTTTATAAGTGAGGGTGGCCTTATATTCGGATATAACGCCATGGCTTTATATGCGCGGAAATACGGTATGTGTAAAATCTTGTATAAACTATGAAGCCATTGCTGGCATGCAGTTTTTCTGGAAATTATGGAGACATGCATTTAAACAAGACAATCATTTGCAGCACATACGTGTCTACACAAACCAGACTAATATTCAAAACCAATGGTCAGTCTTGAAACCGTGATCAGGCGGGTTGTACTCAAGAGAGGTATGTGCTTTCCCCACGGCCTTTCCCCGTCAACTTGTCTTGACGCTTGACTCAACAGTCAAGCCGGCGAGAAAGCATGAACTCCAATACTGCGAGCAATCAACTTTCTTACTATTATCGATAAGGTCCCTAGACTCCCTGCTACTGTTATATTAAAAAGCTGCGCAAATTTTGCGGACACATGAACAAGTATATTGGCGGTGAAAAGTGTGTCACAAGTATCTGAACAACAGGTAGTTTCCAAACTTGGCCCAACCATCAAATTTAAAAGCGACTGCCTATAGCTACCAGTACCAGGGAGTGCAATCGTACTGCCTAGTAGCCAGCTACGGCACGTGAAGAGTACCGGTACACCATGCACACCACTGCACTGATCCGTGTACTGTCTCTTTTGCAGCACGATCCGCTTATCACCTAATCTGCGAGTTACACCTGTTCCCTACACCTGTTCCCTACACCTGTTCCCGTAAAAGCTCCCAGCAATCTTGCGACGGCTTTTAAAAGAATTTACGGCAAAGGTCGAACTTTGCGGAATTTGTCATGGTCAAGAGATTGCGAATATTTGTGGGGACAGTACACATTGGTATAAGCTATTTTTGTAGCTTTTATACGCCATATACATGTACATGTACATGGTAAGACAGATGGGGTTTTATACAAGACAGTGTGGTAAGTCAAGATACTAGTAGTCTGGTGAATCAAAATTCCCAGGCTTCTCAATGCATCAGCATTTGATGAGTCGGATAACTGAAATACATTTTTGCTGACCAAAAAAAATTCACGGCTCGCGTGAGACTCGGCTGGAAACCGAGTGTTCCGCATCCGTAGGAACGCCACCACCCTTCAAGGATCAAGGCGCAGATGCAGCTCCTAAAGCGTTGCTGACCAAGCAGTGCATGATACCACTGCATACGACACGTGTCTATGTACCGATTCATAAGAAGTGGCTCTAGATTCTCTCAGGCCTCTGGTCTCTAAATCGTTCTCAACTGTGCTCAATCATTCTTGTATCCGACAGCTTCTATGCCAGAGATTGTTCCTGGCACTACACAGCCCAGCATTGCTACATCAGCCACAGTTCCTCACTACTACGCATCATTCTCGGTCGACTTCAATCAGCAGGTGAGTGACTGATGACGGATGTGATGCATGCATGCATGCATGTCAAGGGTCTTCGATGAACGTCTGACTGCTCCTCGATGTCTAGGCAGCTTCGGATTGCTGCATACATGTACCTGTCCATTGTGTCCATTTGTATGATGCATGCACTTGCATAGAGACACATAAGACCATGAATGTATATTCAGACTCAAACTGAGTGGTTTTAGCGCATGCACACAGATGCACAAGTTCAATCAAAAGCACAGTCCAGGATTTAGCTGGCCTTCGTCTACTATCTGTTTCTGCTCAGGTGTTCAAGTCAAATCGCCAGGCCAAGATCCGCATCTTAGAGGTCAATGGCTCCCGGACAACTGAGGTGTTCTCTCTTGTTGCCTCATCGTCGAAGGAGGTAAAGGTCGAACAACATCCGACACATGACAGCCACTACCGATTGACATTCGCCATTCCAGAGAGGCTGAAGGTTGGTCAGAGGTATGCCATCACCCTGGATTCAGGAGTGGTCGTAGGCACACAGAGCTGTATTGGCGGTGGTGTTCCATCCGAAGGTCTCACTGACACTTCTGTGTGGCAGTTTGTCACTGACCATACTAGTAAGTAAATATAGATTGAAACCAACATGCAATATAATTACCAGGGAGGGGTGATGATGGGGTGGGTGGGTGCGGGGAGATGGGTGATGATGGGGTGGGTGGGGGAGATGGGTGGGGGGGGGGTGGAGGGAGGGGGGGGGGGCAGGGGGAGGTTGGTAAAAGCAAGAGTAGGTATTTTACTTCTCTGCGACATACCAAGTAGTATGTATGAAGTATGTAGGATGGCAGTCGTGGTTTTTTGGCGGTAAAACAATCAGATCATCAAATGCTGTGTACTGATATCTTATAGACCCATGCAACCTCATCATTTCTTATAGACCCATGCAACCTATCATTTCTTATAGACCCATGCAACCTCATCATTTCTTATAGACCCATGCAACCTCATCATTTCTTATAGACCCATGCAACCTCATCATTTCTTATAGACCCATGCAACCTCATCATTTCTTATAGACCCATGCAACCTCATCATTTCTTTGGATGGCATTATGCGCCGATGTCCCTGGAAGGATTCTGCTGAGGGTATACCGTTTGTAGGATTATATGATTTATATCTTATAAAGCTATTCTTTGTGCTCACGGTTTTCCCCACTTACACTGTGCGTGTGTTGTCATGTGCAGCTGGTGATATATCTAGCAGAAACGTGTCCCTGATGCTACCTTACGGCAAGTCCGAGAATGACAATCAGCTTCAATTGGGTGATGGTCTGTCTTGTCACAGCCAGCCCCTGGCAACCGCTTCCAATGGATATCCACTGTGGGGCAACCAGCACTCAGACGTGACAGTGAGTTTCCTTCACAACAATGAAAGGCATTGTGGATGCTTCGACTGGAAACTAAGCTCAACTGCAATTCTCAAGTCTTATATCTATTGACATTTGTATAGGAAAAAATGGTTTCAGAGCAGACATCTGTATAGACAGAATAATCTTCCGCTTGGTACTATTATGTTGAAGGTCTTGGTGGATAACTGGAATGCTTTTATTAGCCTGCTCATCACTCACTGCATTCCATGTGCTTTGGTTGCTTGCTATGCAGATCTGTGAGAATGGAGTGATCATGCTGGATCAAGACCAACCCATCCGCCATCCCCAGGTGTTCCCCGGAAATTGGGCCACTCAGCCGACAATGCTGACACCCTACTGGTGTTTGGCCGACAATAACCACTCCAAAACGCTCCAGGACGGCCTGAGATCGCATGTCTGGTATCACTTCTACGAGCGGCAAGTCACCTCAGACAAAGATATGCTGGAGGACATCGAGAGCCTGATCATGGCCAAAGAGCGCCAAGCCGACCCATCATTCCAATTCACTGCAACGTGGGGTGCAGTGGTGACTTGGGAGAGGATCACGCCTTATCCTAGCCTGTACCAATACCAGCTGGTAAGTTCTCGGCATCTCGTGTTGCACTGGCTGCTGCCCGCGGTTATAGACATATTCGCATCGCCACACTCCAATCTAATCCCTCGGAGATCTGCAGCAACAATGGCGCAAGGACCTCAGGGTGGCGGTGGCGCATGCTGTCCCCATTTCACAACCATGCACTGTCACCACAAGCATTGCTGCATCTGCCTAGCCTGCCACAGTTACCGGTAGTTGCAAATGTCGTGTGGGTTCAGAGTCAAAATGCTTTCCCCGCCCGTTTAGAACACCTTAGACTGAAGTGACAACACAGACTAACATAGCGTGTGGCTGGCAATGGCAAGGTGTTTTGTTACCGCTAGCTGTAGGAACTGTCGCAAGCCTTGTTCTTCAATACCGTGTTTTCGAGAGTATAATGCGCACTGGAGTATAAGCCGCACCCAGAATTTTTATCACGAAATACCGACATCTACCCTATTAATCCTATTAATCCTATTAATCCTATTAATCACGGTTAATTTGACCAATTTGACCATGGTAGTATAAGCGGATGCACTGACGTTTCCGGGGATGTACTACTGGTGTTTAATGTGCGGCTTACACTCCGGAAAATATAGTACACTGTACCAGGCTTCTTATCCTGTGCAATAGTGTGTGTGCTGTGTGCTTTCGTTCTTGTGGCTCTGCTCAGCATAACACATTCCAAGGTGTCTTAGCGTCGGATGGACTCCGCTCATACGCTTTATACATCTATGACCCGAGCTCTATTCAGTGGTCTGTTCCTACTACACTTGATCCATATGCAACGTTTGGACATGCAGTGTCTGGATATTCGACACCAACACGGAATCATGCTGACAGCCGATCTGGGACATTCAGAATTGCTGACATTGATAACAGAGCGGTGAAAGCTTCTGATCCCAGTCTTCTGCAGACAGGTGGGGTGGGGGCTATTTATGTGCACAAACTGTACGATGCCAACACTTTCTCTGGACCCAGGCAGCGTTGTCTGACGTGGCATGCCTCTCAGCCAGAGCCCACAACCTGGCTTCAACATCTAGACCCATGCCCGTGTACCGTGAAGCAGGCCAGAGCTGACTCGAGGTTTGAACTTATTCGAAATCTCCTTCCAAGAATGTGTTTCCAGAATAGCGTTCCTTCGATCAACGGATCCTCTCAGGAGTGCTGTTACCGAACCCAGCAGCCTGGTCAAGGAGCATTTATTGAAGGCGCACCCGATGGCGGTAACTCGGTACGCTTCTCCTGGCTGAGCTATGAGCCGACTACAGTCAGCTCCCAGGAGACATTGCCGTATCAATGGTGCTGCAAGGACGAGGCACTTTGTCATCTGTTTAGGGAGAAACGACCAAGCCAGTCCTGTGATAACTACGAACCACTGAATTTTGGTAAGTAACCAATAATTATTTGTGACTGTGTTCTACTCTTTTAGAATGCTTTTTTGCTGCAAGTACATGTACGTTTTTGTGAGAGTACAATCAATCATGTGAGATGTTGTGGGAGAAATGGAATGTTACTTGAAAAAAATGAAATCTATGGTTTCTACTTCAGTAAGTAGGCTGGCTGTACACAGAAAGACACCCTCTATTGTAAAACACACCCTACAGTAAGAAACCCTCTATTATAAAATGGCACCCCACAGTATGAAACCCTCTATTTTTATTTGTGAAGGACAGACTGAGAGCAATGACTTGCTATCATTTAGGGCAACATTGATACTGGCCTATCTCGATTTAGAGATCTTGGTTGTCCGTCTCTAACGTGCGGGTAGCAGCCTTTTATTCTAATGTGACTATATTGTATCTACTCTCGGAGAGAGTTGCGGTTGCTCATAACATGCTCAATACACCAAGGTGCAGAACCTAGTACACACACCTGAAAAAAGGAATCAAAGCGTTTCTGCTGTAACTCTGAGTTTCACGGTTTTTGTTAACCGATAATCAGACAGCAACTACTCAGTATTATAGCAAATCAATTGTATCTATGTGCTTCTCCTTTACACATGATGCCTGCAGGATTTGCTGCCTTGCCGCTGGCTCAGGCCGTAAACAGTGGACAGTTCATTGTGGACGCACCGGGCACATTCCTTCTGCTGCAGTCGGCGTCCGATGGTCTTCGCGTCGAGGCTTTGTCTACTCAGCCGAGGCCCGGTGTAGTTGCCGGCATTACGAGCGTGGGGTTGACGGCTGAGGACGCGGATACTGTACTGGTGGACGTGTCGCCCGATGGAGCCTTGGTGTTCAGCGTGAATGGCATGCCGCTCACGAATAAAGTCATCCGAGTCTACTCCGATGAGGACGAGAACATCACAGTGGAGTGCTTGCAGTGGGGCCGAAACTGTCACCATCTCAACCATGCCCTAGTCTATAACACTACGTATCCACCCATCGGCATCAGCAACCACGAGGGCCTCACCGCAGTCATCACCAATCGTACTCACGGTAAAGTTGTGTTTGACAACGGGATTACATGGGACTTTTCCCTGATTCAACCTTGGAACACCATCACAGCGTCTGTAGGTGTGCCCCAAATGTCTTTGACCTCCATCGAGGGCCTCCTTTCCAGCAGCACGTTGCCTCCAACGAAGAAGGCAGTATTGGTTAACGCCACAAGTTCTGCAGCGCACATCAACCAATGTAAGTTTAAAAAAGCCAATCACGAGCATTGGTATTCACATCAAGCCTCCTTCAGTTTCAGGCAGCCAGGCACCATAGGCCGGCAGGGGGTAGGGCTGCTTTCTTGCTGTTGCAATTCCAAGTATTTTGTCTTGCCTGTTGGAAATGTTTGCCTACCGTAGCTGTTCTTTTCTTTCTTTTGAGTTTGGACGCATGTTTTCTGTGCGTATATGCATGGGTTTGTGTGTGGATGCTTGTATGTGGCTGAAGGAGTTTTTCACAATAGTTGATCTGCAGCTAGGCTGCCTATTCGGTGTAGTATTTTGGTCGCAGGTTCATGGGGCTGTCAACAAAGCTCTGATGACAATGTTTCTTTTTTGCATTTCCAGGGCGCCTTGAGTGCTCCGAGATACAGCTGGTGACAGACCCCAGGTGCTCGGCTGGGAATACATCCTCAGGATCACCCGTTATTCCAACCGCTCAACCAGTGACACTTCCTCCCGAGGAGGATGACTTCTGGACAATGGTAAATAAAACATGTGGCAACGATACACTGTGCCGGGAACTGGCCAACGTGACGGGAGATATAGAGCTGACGAAAAACATCACCAAAAAGGCGCGAGATGAGAAGGACAAAGATGACGACTCGAGTAAGTGCACCCCTAGATCAGTACTCATTGACCCTGCATAACGGTGTTACAAATTGCAAACACACTTATCTGCTATTCCTTCATGATTGTACTCTTTCCCGAATCATGAAATTTCTAGGAGTAGGAGATCCCCCATTGCAGGCCTGGAGCCTCTGGGTAATCCTTGAAATACAATACAAAATACAAAAAATAGATTGAAAGGAAAAGGACATAAGGATACGAGTTAAGAGTAACTCTCCATCACTGTAACCAGATCCTATATACAGTCAGAAAGTGCAATAACTAGGCACAAAACTGACATGGAGAGTTACTCTTAACTCGTATCCATATGTCCTTTTCCTTTCTACATTTATTTATGGCTCAACAACCGAGTTACAAAAAAACAATAAGAATGATTACAGTACATGGTCTGAGGATGGGCAGTATTTGCGTCACTTGATGTCACCAGAGCAGTACTGGCATGTTGGTGTGCATGCAGTGAAGTATAGTCCTTATGCACGTTGTACAGATGTACGAAGTTCTGTACTAGGACCGTAGGTGTGTACCTACCCGGTTGGGTGTTCATTGTGTGCTATACATGCGCATTTGACCCATTTAGCCTCATAATTCATGGCAAACAACCGCTTTTCCAGCTTCTTCACTTTGGGATTGAACTAACGACTAGCTAGATCTCTGCCGGAAAAAGTTTTCGTATGAAATGCCTTCAGGGCCCATTTCATAGTGGAATAGCAATGGTCCTGCACATTCAACACCCAACCAGGTCTACGGGATTCTACAAGATTCTACGAGATTCTACGGGATTTCGTGCATCTGTAGAACGTGCATAAGGCGGCCTGGCCTATTGTGTTTCCCAGCTACATGTATACACACATTGCTTTTGTGAACTCCTGCTGCCCAAAGCAAGAAGGAGGGGAGGGAAAAAAGTGAGATGTATGGACTGGCCGCAGCTCTTTTTACCACCCAAAATGGAATGTTTTGATCTTTCGGTGCTGTAGGAGTTGAGTCACAAACAAGGCACAACGTTTTAACGTTTCTACCACATATATTGAGAACATCACCATTCTTAATTCAAGAAACATTTCTCGTACAGCATTCCTTCTCTCCTCTGTACTAGATACAGAGGAGAGGGTTGCTCAGTGGGAAAATTGCAACATCTTGAACATGTTTAAAACTCTTACAGTATGTACCTCTCGTGCTATGATTGTGAGGACTGACTTCGTGATGGTAACCTGATTTGGACAGTAATTTGGAATTATCATATTTGTAATATACATACTTGTGTTGTGTTTGTATGTGTGTCTGTGTTGTGAATATCTAGAAAAGGGACGTTTTCCTGTCCGGACAGCCAATCCAGCGCTAAGGTGCCTTCAGGGCATATGCAACATTGACCTGGCTGTTCTCTCGGGAATACGCCGTGGTACGAAGTTCACATCAGTGCTGGTCGACCGCCACAACTCCTCCTTTCAAGTCATCTATGAAGACAAAGGCAAGAACAGATATCGATTAGCACTGAAGCGCAACGTCCCGGCTACCAATATTCAATTCGTCGCCATTGGCAACGACGGCCGTGTTGTCCTAATCCGTCCGGTCGCTTTCGTCTGCGACTGTGATAACGGCATGTGCACGGATGACTTTCTCTCCCCACTGAGTTCGCCACGCACACGCATCTACGGTTGTGAGTGTCCACAAGCGTATGACGGCACGTATTGCGAGCTAGACCGCGACGGGTGTAAGGCGGCGTTTCAGCCCTGCGCCAGTGGTGTGATGTGTATGGATGAACCTGCTCCGAATACTGGATTTCAGTGTGGTCCATGTCCGACTGGATTCTCCGGAGATGGGCAAACTTGTTTCGGTGAGAGCAACTTGCTTTGCTAGCAATTTTGATGTACCATTTCAGGTCCATTTGTGCAAAGAAATCTATCCAGTTCATCATTTTGTTCTCACCCCTGTAGTTCAGATGCGGTATTGGTGGAAAGGATATGAGTGTGGATCATATTTTAGAGGTGGGGTGGGGGAGGGGGGGGGGGGGGAGGTATAGCCCTGCAGCTTGTGTCTGTTGAATTTTATGTTTGATGGGGGAATGGGCATTGATAGCAACTGCTTTTTAGATGCAGCTGGCCAGGCTTATCGCTTTGGGTGCTGATATTGTGTTCACGAGTCTAAAGTATGAGTAGGAGTAATTTCACAGTGCTATGAATCTTCCTGAAGTCTTCTCACTGTTGCCTTTCCGGCGTTCCCGGCTGTGTTATTCCAGACCTGGACGAGTGTAAAGACATCAGTCCATCTCCATGTGCACAGGAATGTGTCAATACACAGGGTAGCTACCAGTGTGCGTGCAACAGCGGATTTCAGCTGGCTGCTGATGATGTAGAGTGTGATGGTAAGACACAGCGTTTTATGTTGTTGGCAAACCCTATAAAAATGTGACGTATTGTATTTATTCATATTTCTCTAGGGCAGTCCCCGCAGACCTATGGTCTCCTTGCGGGGTACCCTAGCCAATCTAGGATTGCGATACGAAATTGACTTGGTGAAGCAGCAAGGCGGACTGATGCCGGAACTGAGTTCCAGCGGTCAGCGGCTAAATAAGAAAGAGAGGAATAACCAAATCAACAGGAGGCTCGTGGCAGTACAAGTCCAAGCGAGACTTGAGACCTTGTGCAGGTGCGGCTACGTGCCTCAGAATTGGCACAAAGGCAGAAAAGGCGGCACAGAAGTGAGCTGGCAGAAGAATGAACGCATCTGAATACAAGAAGATACAGTTTAAGGGAGAAACGGATAGTGATGGGCGTGAGGTTGTTTCGTCAACCTGACTACTGATAGGACGGAGTAAGCACACGAGTCTGCAGTGTAATATCAGCACGTAGATGGTCGTTGTGTGTGTGTGTGTGTGTGTGTGTGTGTGTGTGTGTGTGTGTGTGTGTGTGTGTGTGTGTGTGTGTGTGTGTGTGTGTGTGTGTGTGTCTGAGGTCTGAGGTGTGTGTGTGTGTGTGTGTGTGTGTGTGTGTGTGTGTGTCAAATGTAAAAACAAATGTAACCCATAGTGAATATTTGGAAGAAGAGGCTTTTGCTAATTGGAACTGCGACTGGCTTTTCTTTCCAACCGCGGTCACATGGTATTGTGCTGTCAACCGCGGTCACATGGTCACATGGTCACATGGTATTGTGCTGTCAGAGAGTCAAAATACTACTCCTATCGGCATTCATTGGCTCGAGGGAAAGATGCAAATGGGGAAAGAATTGACTGTCACCACCAGGACTCGAACCAGGGACCTTAAGTTGAGGCCAGCGATGATCTAACCACAGAGCTTCGGTGTGGCTCACATGCCAGCAAAGACCATTCAACACTTTCTTCACACTTCGAAACTCACGCTTCCTGTGAATCGGCATTATTATTGTGTATGTATTACTCCTGGCTTGGACTTGCACTTGCCTATGATTGTGTACGGTTGATGTGTAGTTTATAATAATTATATAGACTATGTGGCCTAAGCAAAGACTAGCCAAGCTTGCTTCGTGACG